GTTGGGTCTTTGTTGCTGTGTGCAGGCTTTCTCTAGTTGCGGCGAGCAGGGGCTACTCTTCATTGCCGTGCGTGGGTTTCTCAGTGTGGTAGTTTCTCTTGTTGCAGAGCAGGGGCTCTAGGTGCACAGGCTTCAGTAGTTGTGGCTTTCAGGCCCTAGAGTGCAGGCTCAGTAGTTGTGGCACACAGGCTCAGCTGCTCCACAGCATGTGGGATCTTCCCGGACCAGTGCTCGAAACCATGTCCCCTGCATTGGCAGGCAGATTCTTTTTTTTTTTTTGGCAGGCAGATTTTTAACCACTGTGCCACCAGGGAAGCCCTGCAGTGGGCAGACTTCTGTGGTATAGTTGTTCTCCAGTTTGTGAGTTGCCCACCCAGCAGTTATGTGATTTGATTTTATCGTGATTGCGCCCCTCTTACTGTCTCATTGGGGCTTCTCCTTTGTCTTTGGATGTGGGATATCTTTTTTGGTGAGTTCCAGTGTCTTTTTGTCGATGATTGTTCAGCAGTTAGTTGTGAATCCGGTGCTCTCACAGGAGGGAGAAGCACACGTCCTTCTACTCCACCGTCTTGAACCAATCTCCTCTATTGACATTTAAAGTGGTTTTTTGTAGGTATGTACTTATTGCTATTTTGTTATTTGTTTTCTGGTTGTTTTTGTAGTTCTTCTCCATTACTTTCTTCTTTCAGTGTCTCTCTTGTGATTTGATGATTTTCTTCAGTGTTAGGTTTGTGTTACTTTCTCTCTAGTTTTGGTATATCTATAGTAGGTCTTTGATTTGTGGTTACCATGGAGTTCACTTATGTTGACCTATATCTATTTGATTTAAACCGATAGTCATTTAAGTTCAAACACATTCTGAAAGCTCTACATTTTTTACTCACCTCCCAACATTTTGTGTTTTTGATGTCATATTTCACATCTTCATGTCTATCATTTAACTATTTATTGTAGTTATAGTTGATTTTACAATTTTTGTCTTTTAACCTTTGTACTAGCTTATTTAACTGGTAAATACCCAGCCTTTATGATATAATTGCTTCACCAGTATATTTTCCCCGTCCTTTAATTTCTTATTTCCTGTTGTAGCCATTTTTTTTTTTAATTCAAGAAGACTTTTTAAGCCTTCTTGTAAGGTTGGTTTAGTATTGATGAACTCTTTTAATGTTGGCTTTTCTGAGAAGCCTTTATCTCTCCTTCAATTCCGAATGATAACCTTGCTGGGTAAAGTATCCTAGGTTGTAGGGTTTTCCCTCTCATCACTTTAAATCTTATCATGCCACTGTCTTCTGACCTGCAAAGTTTATGCAGAAAAATTACCTGATAGGCTTAAAGGACTTCCCTTGTATGTGACTCTTGTTTTTCTCTTGCTACCTTCAGAATTCTCTCTTTAACTTTTGCCCTTTTAATTATATGTCTTGATGTGGGTGTGTATGGGTTCATTTTGTTTGGGACTCACTGTGCTTCCTCTGTGTTTTCTTCAGATTAGGGAAGCTTTTAGCCATAATTTCATCGAATACATTTTCAAACCCTTTCTCTCTCTCTTCTCCTCTGGGACCCCTATAATGCAAATGTGAGTATGCTTGATGTTGTCCCACAGGTCCCTTAAACTATTCTCATGTAAAAAAATTTTTTTTGCACTTATGACTGAGTGATTTCCATTATTCCACTTTCCAGACTGCTTATGTGTTCTTCTCTGTCACCTAATCTGCTGTTAATTCCCTCTAGTGTATTTGTAATTTCAGTTATTATATTTGGCTCTAACTGGTCCTTTTTATATTTTCTAGTACTTTGTTAAAAATTCTCACTGTGTTCGTGTATTCTTTTCCCTAGTTCAGTTAGCATTCATATTACTACTGCTTTGAACTCTTCATCAATTAAATTATTTATCAGGTTCCTTTGTGTTTTCTTCAGCATTTTTTCTTGTCCTTAATTTGAAGCATGTTCCCCTGTCTACTCATTTTTTTAAAACTTTCTCTGTGTCTATGAAATAAGGTGAGACAGTTATGTATCCCAGTCTTGAGGGTGTCTTCTTGGGTGGGACTATCCCTGTTTAGTCTGCATGTGCCCAGTGACTCTGGAGGGAGAGCTAGATATGAAGTGAGCATGGGCTGCATCTTCCCCTAGGGTGTGGTGGCAGTCACTGCGTGGGTGGGAAACAGTCCGGAGTTGAAGGGGCTAGAGCCAGAACAAGGTGTGAGCTGGGGCTTCTTCTATGCTCAATGGCCCTCACTGCCCTTTCAGGTGTGGGTTTGGGTCCTGAGGGGCTAGAGTAAGAGCCCTGAGGAAGTTGGGTTTCTCCCGGTTCTGATGGCACACTCCCCATTGGTCTAGGATATAGCTGGGTCCTGAGGGCTTGGGGCAGTATTTCTGTGCTGGTTTCACTTTTTCCCCAGTCTGCACATAGTGGTTAGAGGCTGGAGGGAATGGGCTCTGACACAGAGGGGTTCAGGCCGGAGCGGTTGTTGCCATACAACTGAGCTGGTCCCACACCCAACATAGTGTGCACTGGGAAGGGAGTTCCTGTGATGGCAGTCTCCAGGCTGTAGTTAGGTTCATTCTCTCCAGAGTGACTGCAGGGACACATGACCTGGAATGACTGTCTCTACTGGTCAGAGGCAGGTCCAAGGCCTAAGCTAACTCTGTTTCCTCGAAGTGCACACACACTCATTGGTAATGGACTCAGCTCAGTGGGGAGCAGTGCCAGAGTAAGAGGGGCTAGAACATAAGCCTGGTACAGACTGGGTGGGGCACTGGGTACATTCTAGGAATACAGCCAGAGGCCTGGGCAGCAATCAAGCCCACCTTCTCCAGGGAGGGCTTTGAGGGGAAGGATTAAGTCCCATGAACGTTCTTTTCTGACCCTGAGGTCTGTGACTGTCCCATCCCACCTGTGGTCTGTCCACCTGAGCTCATGCCATGGACTCTGGAGGGGAGTCAAGGTGAGAATATGGGGGAAGGGTGGACCTAAGTGCTCCCCATTGACCAGGTGCAGTCACTCCTTACTTCCCATCCTCACTGCGCCCATCCTGCCCCTATCCCGGGTAGCTCATGTTGGGTGGCCTCATATATGGGTCCCCTGATTCTAAGATGAGCTACTCTGAGGAGCCACCCTTCCCAATCTCATTCCATCCACACCCACAGTAGTTGTCAGACATCATAGGATCACAGAGTAGGATCGAGAGCCACCTGCAGCGAATCCAACATTTCGAACATCCGAACACCCTGTCGTGGGGTTTGGTGACTTCTGCATCACCACCCTCCTATGTTTTGGGAATTTAACGACAACGTTTGAACAAAACAGATCCGACCCTTGCTTTTGCTCATTCAATGCCTTACAGACCCTGGACCAGCCTCTACTCCCTTTACTCCCTGAATCACATCTTTCTCCCTCAAGGGAGATTACCCCTGATTACAATAATTCACACACAGGGACACACAGTCACCAACCTTGAATGGCCAATCTACCATCATACCACCTTTTGTGTAGTAAAACACCGGTCTTTCGGGAAGGGTGTCAGGCAGAACCACCCTCACCTCACTCAAACACAAGTCTGTCGCTCTGAGTCTCAGGCTGGTACAGCCCTGTGTCCTGGGTGAGGGAAAGAAGTACTCCCAAACCTCGAGTGAGGGGGAAATAGAACACGGAGTTCAAACTCAATCTCGTGTGTCCTAAAGAGGCAGTCTGGGACATTGAGCTGGGACATGGAAATATCATTTCCAGGAAAATCTGTGTCATGGGGCTGGTGGAAGAGCATTTGACAGGGACCATGCAACAACACAGACCGACTAACCACACTTGCCATAGAACCTGAGGGGCCAATTTCCACTCAAGGGTATACAGACGACCCGGCTGGAGGAGGGTGGTCAGCTGGCTAGGGCAGGGAGGATGTGAATGCTTCCAGATTGGAGCTCCGGAAGGGGGTCATGAGTTCCTGCTGATGGGAAGGGTGAATGGCAGAGATGAATGGGAACCGCCAGACCCCAGACGAGGAGGGGGGTTTGGAGAGAACTAGAAGAGGGCCTTCGGGGGAAACGGAGGACGTGCCAATGTGGCCAGGCAGAGCACACACAGGACCCAGACCGGGGACACGCCGCTGGCTTGACTGCAGGGATGGTAGCAGAGGCTGGCCTAGAGTCCCCACCACAGGATGCCAGAGATACCATTCTGGAAAAGGCTCTGAATTGGAGCAGCGCCCCGCCCCGGCCCCCTACCTCGACCTCGACCCCTACCCCTCCACACAGAAGGCAAAACACACAATATGAGAGGTACTTTAATTGGAAGCTGCTGTGAAACTGAGGCGGGGCAGGGGCAAAACAAGGGGGAGAGGAAGCCCTAGCTAAGGCAGAACAGGAGGGAACGAGCTTGGCCACAGCTCCAGGGCCCCAAAGGTACCAGCTGCTCTTCTTGCAGGAAGACGCTGGGCTCAACCTGTGAAACAGCAGAGTCAGGGAAGAGCCTCAAGCCAGGGCCAGCCCCCAGCCCTGCTCAACAGCCAGGACTGCGGGAAGGGGTATGGTGTGTGTAACACTCACTTCAAAGGGTCTGCAACTTGTCAGCCAGGTAATGCATGGCGGCTGCAACAGGGACAGGCATTAGCAGGCGCTCCAGACACAGGGATATAGAAGCCTGTCCCCCATCCCCGTGAGGAACCGCCTAGCCCTGAAACCTGAAACCCCTCAAGACCCGATGCAAAGAGCTCTGGGCCTGAACACTCCCCACCACCCAAATTGAATGTGGAACCCGTTCCTAAAGGGAAACAAAATGTGCCAGCATCTCTCACGCTGTGGCCCGTGCCACAACCACTCAGAACTTGTCACACACACAAACAAACAATCCAACAAGAACCTTAGAAGCCACACCAAGCAGCAGTTCAAGGGAAAACTCAACGAGGCATCTCTAAAAGTCCTATCAGAAGGGCATTCCCTAGGACTGGTCTCGTTGTCAAAGTGTGCATGCAGTCCAGACAGTACTTTGCTACTTGTACACACGCCCAGTTGTACATGCAGAGCCGGCTCCAGGGCCAGGCCTGAGAGGTTCTCCTTCCCACAGAGATGTTGGTCCCTGCCAGGCCCACCGCACCTGCAGCCAACCCCCACCCCAGGTGCCCACCCGGGATCTGCACTAAGACACCGCTCTCCGGCCCTGGTTCCTCATATCAAGTTCCTCCTTAAGTTCGTCTACTTCTCTCTTTAGCTCGAGACACTAGGCCAGCAGACAGAGGAGGAAGAGAAATGATTACTATACTCTGGCCTCCTCTCTCCTCCACCTTCTCCTCTCCCCCGGGCCCTCCACCCCAAAGCTGGGTGGTTAGACGGGCAAGGGCTCCTCAGTGGAAAGGACGTGGGCTCCCTCCGTGGGATACGTGATGGGGGCAGGGGAGGGGTCGCCCACACATGTCAGCTGAACTTGGACCCAGATCCCACCCTCGAGTTTGGGCCTGCATTTCCAGGATCCAGAGGAAGCGTTACCCAAGGACAGCAGGGCGTTCCCAGTGGCTGCTGCTGCGTTTCCGGTCTTGGGGGATGGTCAAGTGGCTCCCGGTCACCTGAGAGGGAAAGGACACACAATCCAGCTTCCCAGGCTCCCAGTGAGGTGGAAAGGGCCAAGCGGGCTCTAAAGTGAGGTGAGGCAGCACCATCCTCTGCTGGCAACCAGCCGCCCCTGCTCTGCCCAGCAGCCGGAACCTTGTCTCTGGGCCTGCCCCCCCGGTTCCCCGGGGGCAGCCATTTCTCCGTTGTGGTCCGCAAACAATGTGGCTCTGGATTCGACCCTCCCAGAGCTGCAGCCACAGCCAGCACGTGGGAGAGCAATGTGGCCGAACAGGACTTAACAGAAAAGGCTGTTCCCCTGCAAGTCTACACCCGGAGCAGCTGTTTGGGGCACTGCCACCGATCATCCCGGCCGCACAAACCCCACACAGAGGATGATGTGGCTCAAGGCCAGCCCTGCCAGCACCCCGTCTCCTGTGGGAGAAGCTGCCTGGGAGAAAGGCTGTGCCCCCAGCAGAGACATAGGCAGAGGTTCGTATCCTCAACCCCTCTTCCCTCCCCTCATATCAAACCCACGACACTCACCTGAGGGGGCAGGCCCCCTGGGCATGACTTCTCCCTGGTTCAGGGCCAAGGGTTCTGAGTTTCCTGGATCTTGGAGGCCTCTGGTGTTGACGTCGCCACTGCTGGCTTTTCTACGATGCATGCACAGACAAGATATCCCTGGCCTGTGAGTTAGCAGCTGAAACAAAAATTTCTCACCGATTTGGACTAACGAAGTGTGTGTCTGTGTGTGTGTGTGTGTGTGTGTGTGTGTGATAGAGACAGAGAGAGAGAGACAGAGAGAGAGAAAATTGTGTGATTCGGGCCAGGGTGAGGCAGGGAATTAGGAAGGGAATTGAAAGGCTGATCTCATTAGCACTTTCTCCCTCAGTCAGCCCCAGGCCAGCAGGCAGGGCTGATCTAGGCACAACAGTGGGACACTGAGGAAGCCCAGGCCCCCTGCAAGGAAGGTCTGGGGAACAGCTAGGAAGTAGGATTCGGGAAGCTGGTGAGTCTAAATACTGAGGCTTTCCGGGGAAGGTTTTAAGGGATCCCCCGACCCAATTCAGCTACCAGCCCTCCCTTCCATCCCAGCCCAAGACTCTCAGAGGAGGCTGGAAAGAGGCCAGAGGTGGAGAGCCGGGACCAGGACACCCGAAGTGCTACCTTAATGTTTGTCCCTAGGAAAAGGAGCCCGATCTGGCATCGTAATGACCCTGTGACCGAGGGGCACCCAATGCTGACCCCTGAGGGGTGGACAGAGGCAGCATGGGTGAAGACGTGTGCCCTGGGTGCTCTTGGGGGGGAAGAGTGGGGAGAGAGGAGGAGCATGGCCTACTCACTTGGCCCTTTGGGGCTGGGTCTCTACTTGGGTCCTTATCTTCTCCCGCCACCGCCTCAGACTCCCTTGCCCACCTGACCACGGATTTCTTCCCAGAGCCGCTGTGCTTGGACTGTTTGGTTCCCGAAAGCACTAAGGTATAACTCTCGGGTTTCCCAGGCTGCGGAATACCAGAGATTGGGGGGAAGGTGGCCGGTTCCACGGGAGTTGCCGAGATTCGCTGCCCCCGGGAACGGAAGGTTCCCCCCAGGGCAAGTTTGGATGCTCCCACGACGGATTTCTTCTCCTGGGCTCCGTTCTTCCTAGGAGTGACCCGCGGCAGGCCACCTGCAGCAGCAGCAGAAACAAAAGCAGCAGCAGCAGCAGCAGCAGCAGCTCCCGGGTAGCTGGGCTTGCTGCCCCCCTTCCCCCACAGCACGCTCTGCATTTTCTTAGGGGAAGAGATGCCCTGCTCTCCCACGCCCTGCCTTTCCACAACCGAAGAGAGTCCTCGTGGAGCCGAGGACAGGGAAGAGCCTGTCACGTGAAGGAAATTCTCCCTGACTTGGAACTTCGAGTGTCTGGGAGTGTTCCCGGGATCCTCGGGTCTGCTAGGCTTGGCCGGGCCTCCTCCTCTGGGGTAAGTGCTCACCGTCATCAGCTGTGTCTCACTGAATTCATCTGAGGACTCGGAGTCGGACAGCAGCCAGGCCAGGCCTTCTGCGGAGCGCCACTGGAGATCCACAGCCACGTTTAACCTACGCTTAGTACCTCTCTTAGGATTCCCCAAGGCCCGGCCTGCTTCAGGCCCACCGAGGTGGAAAGGGCCGGCTGGAGCTGTCGGCGCCTCCCCATAGCTCTGGCCGGGCGCTCCTCGACCGCCGGGACTCGCCTCGAAGCGCAGTGTCCACACGGTGGACACTTTGAAGGCAGTGGAGCTCCACGAGGACGGGTACCTGCGGACGCCCAGCACGTCCTGTTCGGTCAGCTGCTGCAGGTTGGCCTCCTCGGCCTCCTCAGACTCCTCGATCAGATGCAGGAGGTCCCTCGTGTGGTCATGTGGGGAGCCAGGTCCGCCTTCGCGGACCCACAGCACCGGCCCTCGCGCTTCCAGCATCTCCCGCTCAGACTGCAAGCCCTCGGGGTCCGGGTATCTGCGGATGCCCATCACATCCTGGTTGGTCAGCTGCTGCAGGTTGGCCTCCTCGGCCTCCTCAGACTCCTCGATCAGGTCCAGGAGGTCCCTCGTGTGGTCAGCTGGGGAGCCAGTTCGGCCTTCGCGGCCCCACAGCACTGGCCATCGCGATTCCAGCATCTCCCGCTTCGACTGGAAGCCCTCGGGGTCCGGAGAGCCGCCTCCGCCCTCGCCGCTCCAAGGCTCCCCAGGCTCGGGGCCTGGGTCGGGTCCCCGCGGGACTGCGGGGCCGGCCGCGCAGACGCCAGCCCGCTCTCTGCCCTTTGGGCGGACAGGCCTTCTCCACACATACACCACATCCGGGGAGCTCATGTCGCGACCTGGGCGGCCCCGGAACCGGGGCGACGGTCGAAGGCCCGAGTCGCGGTCACGGTCACGGCGGTCTAGGCGGGCGGCGCTCAGAAGGCACCGTCAGCCACCTCACGCGCCGCACGAGCTCGCCTCAAAAGAAAGGACGCGCCACTTTCAGCACGCCTCTCACGCCCGCACCGTGGCCTCCTCATTGGTCCGACCGCAGCCAACCAGCAGGCGCCTTGTTCGCCCGTCCCCTGGAGACCTACCCAATGGGTTCGAGGGCCTCTGGTTTTCTCGCAAGCCCGTGGGCTGTCCGGGCAGTTGGCTGGTGAAGGGGATGGTGGGAGTGCCTCCCTCTGTCAAGTTCTGGGCCCGCCTCCTCCTGTCCCCCCTCCCCTTTCCGGTTAGAGTCACAGCTCTGAGCCTCCGTTTCCCATCTGTACAGGGGGTCGAGGGCGTCGGGGAGTGAGGGCGCCGGGCTCCAGGGCTGGTGCGGATAAAACGTCAAGATGGAGGCGCTGGATTCCTAGCACGCGCCGAAAGCATTTGCCAGCCTCCCTTCCACCACAAGCCTTAAGACCCAACAGGAGAATGGGCACAGGAGTCCTGCAGTCAGTGATCAGTGGTCGGCCAGAGAGCAAAGGGATCGTATTTTCGTTCTGTAAGGTCTCTCTCAACTGCTCCATCAAATGTGGCTCCGCAGACGTTATTGGCAGGCGGGCTTGGCGCATAGACTTGGGGTTGGCCTCGCTCCAACAGCCCTTCGCCCTCTCTGAGGCAAATTCAAAGAAGAGGAAATCGCAGTGGCCAGTTACACCCCAAAAGATGCTCCCCACCGCTGATCCTGGAGATGTGAACTAAAACCACGAATCGGGTTTCACACACTAGGTTGACAACTTTCAAAGAGCTTAACCATTCCGAGGGTGGGAGAGGTTAGGAGCAAACCCCTGTGGCGGTGAAGCAAAAGACTCATTTGGGAGGTAATTTGGCAGAATCCGTCGAAAGCAACTTAGTGCCGGCCCGGACTCTGTGCCTGGCACTCTTCTAAGCGCTGGGCATAAATAATAATGCATCCGCATGACACGCCTTTAACTATACTACCAACTATTACTGGCCTCTTACCGGTGAGGAAGCAGGCAGTGAGAGGTTCGGCCACTGGCCCAAGGTCATTCAGCTCGTGGGGATCAGCTGCAGGATTGAAACCAATCAATCTGACTCCAGAGTCCTTGCTTTTAGCCCAAGATCTTTAAAAGGAAGATAAAAAGAATCTATTTCCTCTATGCTCGTGCAAGTCCGCTGCCTGGTACTTCGTCCGGAGACACGCTGGTACATGTAGTGTACAAGAACACATGCACAAGGGTGTTGGTGATGGGAAAAACTGGGAACACTCCAAATTCCCGTCAGTAAGGAAATGCATGAATGCAACGTGGCTTAGCATCCAGTAGCATAAAGTGTGGCAGTCCAACGGAATGCATCAGGCCATTCTCACAGCTTTCGAAAGCATCCGCCTGACTTCAAACTGCAAGTTGCAGAACGATGGCTTTGGATTCACATTTATAAGTTAAATCACTTGCGTGCGTGGGCACACGCACACACACCAGTCAATCCTATGTAATATATGAGAATTCATTTAAGTGTATGTACAAGTATGTTTCAAAGTTTTGAAGGACGCACAACCAAGGCCTACCAGTTGTGATGGCGGTGGGTGTGGATAGCCAGGTGTCTCTCAGTTTTTCTTGGAACTGTCAGTTCTCAGCTCCCCTGAGCTGAGCAATTCTGATGTATGGGGAGTGGTGCCTCCCTTGGTTTCTATACGGCCCATGGGTGTTAGAATTTCCCTTGTCTGCCACCCCACTCCTACTCTGACACCGCTCCATTCCTCCCATACCTTCCTTCTGCTCCTTCCCGTTCATACTCCTCTGTCTTCAGTCACCTCTCTCTCCTGCATCCTGCTCTGGCTGACGTCCTGGAGAGTCCTGGGGTGTCTGAAACCCTCTTGCCTGTGGAACTCAAAGGCCCAGTTTTCTGGGTCTGCACCTGAGAAGCTGGCCATGCTGGAGAAGTTTCAGAGCAGGGGAGATTGGGTGCACTGTAAATCTGCAATCCTCCTCCTCGAGCCTGCCCCCGATGGTGCCTGCCCGTTTGTGGATACCGCCCGCTTCCACTTCTCCCAGTGACTTTTTAAGTCATGGTGTGCTATTTCAAATATGTTAAAATGGATAAGGAAGGATATAGCAAAATCTCCTGCATCCACCAGCACCCTAGGAAACATTACCAGTGGATTCAGTGGAAGCCTCCGTCTTCCCTCTCACCATTTCCATTCCCTTCCTCCCTCCCCCAGAGAGAGACTCCCAGAACTTCTCACCTTCTCCACTCTCTTCGTCCCTGTGGCTCTCCTACCTCCTCTTCCCCTGCATCCCATACGTCTCCAATGATGTCACTAATCTCTGCTTTAGCCCCCTATGCTCACCAGGATCCAATACTGGTTTTGACTTACTCTCTTGGCCTGGGGTGGGAGCCAGTGTCAGAGGTTCCTCTTGGCTTTCCCCACCGGGATAGCTCTTACCCCACAGAGCAGTGACCCAATGTGGAAGTCATTGCTCCAACTGCCAAGTGTATCACTTATCATTATCAGCTTGGGGACTGGAGAAATGACCGCTATTTTGGTCCAGGGACCCCTTCAGCTCACTGTGAACCGGTCTCCATTCCCAGCTCCTTTTAATGTCAGGGCCTCAGAAGCCCCATTGTAATGAGGCCCCATCACGACACTTTGGGCCTCCTGGATCAATGTCAGCTCAGATGCTGTGTCCAGTAGTAGTAGAAGTGTCTGGGTCTTTTTCTAGCCTCAGGGTACAGTCACCTGAGAAATGGCAGTCATTCTCTTTAGGGACGGTCATAACCCACTGCCTTGTTTCTGGATCCTTCCTCCTCAGGACTCATCCACCTCTTCAGTGGGGCCAGTCTCTGAATTGGCTCAGGACCAGGAACTGAGCAGGAGACTGTGGCTTTGTAGCGGAATGATGGCCCTCCTTCTCTTGCATTCTTGCCTTTTGCTGGCTGTAGTTGCCCCTAGGGAGCCATGCTGTCTGCGCCATCTTCTCAGCTTTCTGCCGGTCAAGCAGGCACTCTTGACTGCCCCTCTGACCTTGCTGGTCGTTACTGGAAATGTGGTCTGCTGGCATCTCTTGGTTAAGAGCTGCCCTCTGCCCTCTATTATGTCAGAATTCGTTGGCTTCCATGGGTGGTAATGAGCCCAGGTCGGGACCACTTTCCTTCCATCATTGGCATTGGCCTGCAGAGGGGAGCAACCAGCAAACTTCTAGTGATGCTGGGCCCCTCTCACCAGAACACTCCTGATGGCTTTGGTGAGTGATGTGTCCTCTCAGCCCTACAGTGGGACATAACCATGAGGCCATGTGACTGGCCTCACCTTTTCTGTCCGTTCTAGCATCACTCAACCTTTTTGTTCCTTCCTCTGCCATCTGCCAATCCAAGGCAGGCATTTCCACTTCTCTCCTTATGGGCCATCACTTTCTCAAAGTTTCAAAGGGCCAGTCTGGCAGTGAATTTCCTCCATCTCCTGGAGTCCKTGCCCGTGTGTTAAATCCCATGGCATGAGAAAGCGCCTCYGCTCAGTAAAACTTGCKTATCCACTCTTATATTCCTGTCCACTTGATCCAGCACCCTCAAAATCCAATCCCAGGGATACTGCCCTGCTCCTGCCAGTMCAGGCTTGTTATTTCTTGGTGTATAATTTCTTTTTCCCCTTATCAGGCTCGGCMTATCCMAGTGAGTTTATGGAGAAGAGATGAGGGTTYCCCTGGGAGAGGCGTCTGTCACTTTGTGGGGGAGCAGACTCTGTAGCATCTACCAGCACAGGGCATGTRTTAGCTCTTGCTRGGGRAGGAAGGGCCACCCTGCAAGCTTTGAGGCCTCAGGACGTTTGGATMYGATAAGCCAACGTTTGGAGACATCCATGCCAATATACCCGGCCTACATTTCAGAGTCTGAAGTTTTTCCAAAAAGGGCCCTGACCTTCCCATAACAGGCCTGTGTTTGTCAAGGATGTGTACGTGTCTGGAGTTCTGCACTTATTGTTATCACATAATCTGTGAGCTACTCAGCTGTCTCTGCAGGAGGCAAGGGCATTTTGTAAGCCACCAAGAAAACCCCATCAATCTTACACTTGGCCCTTAACTGTTTGGTAATGTCCCTTAGTTTCTCATTATGTCTTTGCAGGGCGCCAGTATAACAGTGATGAACAGCCGCCTCTGCCCTCCCTATAGACATAGTGCCCTCCCTACCATTCAAAGGCCTGAATCATCTCACAGGCCACAAGTAAGACCCTCCACTGGGATAGTTTTCAAGGTACGTATGGATAAAACCTTAAGGAATCAGGAGGTAACCTTGTGCTAGAGATTATCCATGCCCCACATAACACTCAAAATGGTACGCTTTTTGTCATTTGGGCAGTGAGTGAGCTGGTCCATAAACCCCATCTTATAGCTAACTTCTCAGACCACTCCTGGTACCACTTTTGTTAGTTTGGGCTCTCCAAAAATACGGACACCAAGGTATGATTGGACATGAACGAACATGATGGGAGAATGGCATGTGAAGGATAAAGGAGAAGGAGCAGGAATGAGTCTTCTTCTTCAGGGTGCGATGCGGGTCTGACGTCTGTAAGAGAGACGTGGGGGAAAGGAGGGTCAGATAAGAAGAATCTCTGATGCAGTTTCGTTCTAACAGTAAACTTTCGTTCAGTTTAGTTTGGTTTGTTCAGGCTCATGTGGAGTCCCCAACCTACAGCTGCCATTTAGAGGAGTCCCTGTCCTGAAGCAGTATGCCCCTGCCATGCTCAGTCACTGGCTGGGAGCTACCCAGAGGATGTGGGATCTTGGCACAAACAATGGTGGTGCCAGAGAAGTGGTAGCTGGCACTTGCCAATCTACTATGTTCCCTGCAGTGGATCGGAGGGGCATGTTTCTATGGCCACCACAAGGAAGCAGAAGTCAAAG